CAGGAGCGGGCACGGCCATGACCCCCCCGCACCCCTCCCGCGGCCCCGGGCCCTGCCCGGCCCCCGCCGCCCTCCCCGGCCCCACGGCCCTCCCCGGCCGGGCTCGGGGGCTCCGCGGCATCGCGGCCTTCGCCCAGCGCCCCTCTGTGCCCGCCGCCGCCTCCCCCGCCGCGCCGTCGCCGCTCCCGGCGCTGTTTCGCGGGCTGGGCTTGGACGAGCGGCCCCGCGAGCGGCCCCTGGGTAGGGAGCGGGGGTGAGGGGAGTGTGGAGGGGCTTTAGGAGCTGCCCGCTCCCTCCCCCGTCCCTTCCCCAGCCCACTGTGCCCGCTCGTCCCGCAGGTCGTGGCGGCGCTGGCGATGGGAAGGCTCTGGCGCAGCCCAGCCCGGCACGGGAGAAGGAGGAGGAGGAGAAGGAAAAGGGGGCAGCGCTGGTGGCGCTCCCCACGCGCGGGCAGTGAGTCCCTCCCGGCACCCCAAACCCCTAAAACCTCAATACCCACCTTCTCCTGGACTCCCCCCGCTCCCCTCTATCCCTTCGTCCCCCTCTGTCTTCCCTATCCTCTCTGTCCCCTGCTATCTTCCAGCCTCGCCATCCCCTCTGTCCCTTCTATCCCCCCATTGTCTTATCCCATCCATCCCCCCATCCTTTTATTCCCTTATTTCCCCGTCTCCCCCATCCATTCTGTCCCCTTATTCCCCTCTGTCCCCCATCCCCTCTATCTCCCCTATTCCCTTATGCCCTTTATTCCCTCTATCCCCTGTGCCCACCCCATCACCACTATCCCTTTATCCCCCCTATTCCCTCATCCTCTCTGTCCCCTTTATCCCCCTGTGTCCCCCCGTTCCCCTCTATTCCCCCTCCTGCCCTTTCCCTGAGCCCTTCCAGTGGCTCCATCACCCACCCTGGTGACAGAGGCTGGGGGACCCTCTACCAGTGACCCCCCCTGGTGTGATCACACCCCTTCCTGCCCCACTCCCTCGCTGCCACATTGCCAGGGCCACCTCTGTGTTTTGTCCCCAAAACCGGGTCTTTTGAGCCACCCCCCACCCCAGGCTGGTGTGGGGCAGGAGTAGGGGGGAATTTCGGGGGACACCCGGGCACCCCCAGCGTGTCCCCAGCGTGCCAGGGCTCACCCCTGCCCTCCTTGGGGTCGCAGGATCCGATGGCAAGGCCAAGGGAATGCGCCGCCCACCCGCCCTGGAGGAGCCACCACTGCGCCCACCCTGACCTCGCTCGGCCCCCTGCGCCCCCCCAGGAGCCCCCAGCCGTGAGTGGCGACCCCAGCCCCGCGTTTTGGGGGGTCCAGGTGCTGCTGGGTCACCCCTGACCCCGTGTCCCTCCCCAGGCCCTCCCCAGGGGCAAAGGGACCCGCCGTCCCCCTGGGGCTGAACTTGGTGAGGATCCACTGCCAGAACGAAGTTGTCTACCAGTACCATGTGACCTTCAGGTACTGGGGGGTTCATGGGGGGCCCCGCAGCCCCTCGGGGGTCCCCCACAGCCCCTCGAGAAGGGGGTGTCCCCAGGCAGAGCCCTCCGTGTCCCGAGTGCCATGAGATGGGGCGCCCGGCGCAGCAATGCAAAGAGCTCCGGGTTTTCCCCCTCAGGGGGGATTCCAGGGGGGGCTTAGCAGGGTCTGGGGTGGGGACAGGGGAGGGAGAAAAGCCCCTGTGTGTCCCCAGCCCCGAGGTGGAGTGCAGGAACACACGCTTTGCCATGCTGAAGGAGCAGCGCGCCGTCACCGGGGATGTTTTGGCCTTCGACGGCTCCATCCTCTTCCTGCCCATCCAGATTCCCAAGGTAAGGGGGGGCTTGTCTTTGCCCAGGTGCCCCCCCCCCCAGGCCTCCAGCCCTTGTTTTGGGTGGGAGAACCCCCCTTCTTGCCCCACAGGTCAGTGTGAAGGCTCAGAGGAAGAGCAATGGGGAGGAGGTTTCCATCACCATCCAGATGACCAAGGTCCTGGAGGCCAGCTCGGATCTCTGCATCCCCTTTTACAATGTGGTTTTCCGGAGGTGGGAGACCAAGGAGACCCTCCCTGAGCTCCAGGGAGGAGACCCTCCTCCCCCTCCTGTCTGCCAAGCCTGACCCAGTCCTACTTTTCCTGCTTCTCCTTCCTTAGGGTGATGAAAATCCTAAACATGAGCCTGGTTGGGAGACATTTCTTTGAGCCTGCCCAGGCCACCACCTTGCATAAACACAGGTGGGTGCCAGGGACATCCCTGTTTCCCCGGCAGCCTGGAAATTGGGAAGTTTTCCCAGGTCAGCTCTGGCTGGCCTGACCTTGGAGCGGCTGTTTTCCGAAGCTGGGAGCTGGGAAACAAATCCCTGTGCGTTTTGGGTGTTCCTTGGCTCCTGGGGCGGCTCCGGGTTAACCTAGGCGCCGTTGGGCATCTTTCCCTGTGGACACAGCCTCCAAATTTGGCCGGGATACGCCGTCAGCATCCGGAAGAAGGACGGCGGGCTCTTCCTCATGGTGGATTCCATCCACAAAATCATCCGCAGCGAGTCCGTCCTGAGCATGATGTGAGAGGAGCGGGAAAGAATCCCGGGAGGCTTCAGGGACGGGGAGGGGGTGTTTTGTTTTCGGGATGGCACGGGCAGGCAGCGTTCCGTGGGCCGTCTCTCCTCATTTCCCAGGCAAGCAATCCACTCCCAGAGCCAGAAGACGTTCCAGGACGAGTGCACCAAGGAGTTGGTGGGCAGTGTGGTCATCACCCGCTACAACAACCGCACCTACCGGGTCGACGGCATCGACTGGGACAAGACCCCCAGGGACACTTTCACCCTGGCCAGCGGGGAGGAAATCACCTTTGTGGAGTACTACAGGTAAGGATGGATCATCCCTCGGGATTGGGAAGGGCTCGATGCCCGCTGTTGGGTGAGCAGGAGCAGGAAGGTCTCGCCCGATGCCGTGTCCCTGCCCACGGCAGGGGCTTGGAGCTGAGTGGTTTTTAAGGTCCCTTCCAACCCAAACCATTCCAGGATTTTGTGATTATGCTGTTTGGTTTGTTTGTTTTTTTTTTTTCCAGCAAAACTTACGGGATCACCATCAGGGATCTGGACCAGCCGCTGCTCATCCACAGGCCCAAGGAAAAACAGACAATGGACAGGAAGGTGAGCCGGGCACGGAGAAATGGGGATCCACAGTCTGTCCTGGGCTCCTGGGGAGGGCAGGGACTCCCAGCCCCTGGAATGCTGAGGGTGCCTGTCCCCTCTGCAGCATCAGCTGCACATGGTGGTGCTGGTGCCAGAGCTCACTTTCCTGACCGGGCTGTCCGACCTGCAGAAGAACAGCCGGACGCTGAAGGTGAGAGCCTGTTCCATCCCACCATCCCTGCTTTTCCCCAGCTGGCAGTGCCCGCTTTGGGGAGCTGCTGGGGGGTAGCTCCGAGCCCCCCATCACGCCTGGGGGCTGCCCCTGCAGGAGGTGATGTGGGAGATGATGCAGAGCCCCCGGCAGCACTACCTGCGCCTCACCAACCTCCTGCGCCAGATCCGCGACAGCCCGGAGGCCTCCCGGGAGCTGGAACGCTGGGGGCTGCACCTGGACACGGATATCTGCAGGGTAGGGCTCTCAGGGGGTGCCAGGCTCCCTGCCTTCCCCCCTGGGGATGGGGGCAGCCCCGGATTCCTGCTCTGTCCAGACCCAGGGTCACGTCCTGCCCTCGGAGCGGATCAACCTCCGGCACCGCTCCTTCTTCCCCGAGGAGGACCTGAGCTGGCACAGGGAGGTGACCAAGGAGGTGACCATCTCGGCGGTGAGCCCACCACGGGAACAGCCTCCCCTTGTCTGGGAGCTGGCCTGGGTTTTCCTAAGCGCTGGCATTCCGGCTGAGCTGCCTCCAGCTCAAACCCTTCCCTTGTTTATGTTGGATTTGAGCTTCAGCCTGTTTTTCCGAAGGAGTTGGAGGTATGTGGTGGGTGGTGTCTGCTTTCCTGCCTCCTCCCAGGCTGGAGGAAGGCTTTCAGATGCAGGAATTCCATGCTGTGTGCTCCTGAGGTTCCTCTTGGGCTGCTTTCCCTCTCCCAAATTCCCCTCTGTGCTCCAGGTTCCTCTCTCCCAAATTCCCCTCTGTGCTCCAGGTTCCTCTCTCCCAAATTCCCCTCTGTGCTCCAGGTTCCTCTCTCCCAAATTCCCCTCTGTGCTCCAGGTTCCTCTCTCCCAAATTCCCCTCTGTGCTCCAGGTTCCTCTCTCCCAAATTCCCCTCTGTGCTCCAGGTTCCTCTCTCCCAAATTCCCCTCTGTGCTCCAGGTTCCTCTCTCCCAAATTCCCCTCTGTGCTCCAGGTTCCTCTCTCCCAAATTCCCCTCTGTGCTCCAGGTTCCTCTTGGGCCACTTTCCCTCTCCTGAACTTCCCTCTGTGCTCCTTAGGTTCCTCCTCTCCCAAGTGAAAATGTACTCCGTGTTCCTCTTGGGCCACTTGCCTTTCCCGAATTCCCCTCTGTGCTCCAGGTTCCTCTTGGGCCACTTTCCTCTCTCAGATTCCTCTCTCCCAAATTCCCCTCTGTGCTGCAGGTTCCTCTTGGGCTGCTTTCCTTTCCCAGATTCCCCTCTGTGCTTCCCAAGTTCCTCTTGGGCCACTTTCCCTCTCCCAGATTCCCCTCCGTGCTCCCTAGGTTCCTCCTCTCCCAAGTGGAAATGTGCTGCAGGTCCCTCTTGGGCTGCTTTCCCTCTCCCAGATTCCCCTCTCCCAAATCCCCCTCTGTGCTCCATGTCCCTCTGGGGCCACTTCCCCTCTCCCAGATGGGAATGTGCTGCAGGGCTTGGGGGCTGCATGACCATTTGGGAACACACCCCAAACACGGCCTGTCCTCGCTTCTCTTCCCAGATCTCCATAAATTCCTGGCTCCTGGTGTATCCCAAGCGGCTGCAGCAGGTGGCCCAGGACCTGCTGGCAGCCGTGAGGAGCACCTGTGGAGCCATGGGAATGCAGGTGGGACAGCCCTCGGTGCAGGAGCTGCGGGACGAGCGCATCGAGTCCTACGTCAAGAGCATCCGGAGCGGTTTGGGAAGCCAGGTGGGGAGGGGGGATGTTCCCAGGGGATCACCAGGCGGGTGGGAGCACGACTGGGATGGGAGCACCTGGAAGGGCTCAGCCTGGAGGAAAGGAGGCTCAGGAGGGACTTTATTGCTCCCTAAAACTCCCTGACAGGAGGGAGGAGCCGGGGGGGGGATCAGGCTCTGCTCCCAGGGTACAAGGGACAGGGGAGGCTCAGGTTGGACATCAGCAGGAATTTCCTTGTGGACAGGGCTGTCAGGCATTGGAAGGGGCTGCCCAGGGAGGTGGTGGAGTCCCCACCCCTGGAGGTGTCCAGAAACCACATGGGAACACGGGTTAGTGGTGGCGGCCTTAGGTTTGACTCGGTGATCTCAGAGGGCTTTTCCAACCCCAACAATTCCACCATTCCCGGCAGGAAAAGGTGCAGCTGCTCGTGTGCATCACCCCCCGCAACCGGGACGACGTGTACGGGGCCATCAAGAAGCTGTGCTGCATCCAGGCCCCTGTGCCCTCTCAGGTGGGCCCGGCAGGGTGGGACCACCATTCCCGGGAAGCTCCGGGTGCTTTTCCAGCCTCGCTTTCCCACGTGTTTTCCCGCCCCGTAGGTCATCAACGCCCAGTCCCTCATGGGCTATCCCAGCAAGATCAGGAGCGTGGTCCAGAAAGTTCTGCTGCAGATCAACTGCAAGCTGGGCGGGCAGCTCTGGGGGGTTGACATCCCGCTGGTAAGGCAGGAAAACCCCTGGAAAAGGCCTGGGATGAGCTTGGAAGCTCTGAGGGGGTGAATTATTGTAGTCACGGGCTTCCCTCGCCGGCTGGAGAACTGGGGGTTGGATTCTCTTTGGAGCACGGGAGTCCCTCGCAGATGGAGGGATCCAAGCCTGGAGGTGTCTTGGCTTATCCCTAAATCCCACCTGGCTGTTTTTTTCCCCCCCTTTCCCAGAAACAGCTGATGGTTGTTGGCATGGACGTCCACCACAGCCACAGCCAAGGGATGCGCTCCGTCATCGGCTTCGTGGCCAGTATGAACCAGTATGTGGAGTCCTGGGAGGGGGGAAGGTGTTCCTCTGGCTCTGCCCTGGGAATCTGGCGGGATTCCACCCCAAAATCCCCCTCCTTGGGCGGGAAGGGGGGCGAGGGTGATGCTTTTCCTGACCCGCAGGGTTTTCGCCGGCGTGTTTGTGCTGGGAATCGCTGGGAAAAGGGCTGGGAATGCTGAGTTGGTGGACTTTGCCTGGTGACCCTGGTGTGTTTGGGGTTTTCCTGATGCTCATTCCCATTCTATCCCCAGCATCCTCACCAAGTGGTATTCCAGGGTGGTCTTCCAGATGCCCCACCAGGAGATCGCCGACAGCCTCCGGCTCTGCCTCTCCCAAGCCCTCCGGCGCTTCTACGAGGTGAGGCCAACAAAAAAAACCCTCCCAGGGTTTGATATTCCCTCAAAACAAGGGGAAAACACCCCAAAACTACCGCTCTGGAGCTGGCAAAGCTCCCCAGCAGCCTTTGGACTGGATGTGGAGCTGGGACAGCTCATCCTTATCTCGGGAACGTGCGAACCGGCCCCGGGGATTAGTTTGCACAGAGGGAAGTGCCACGTTCCACCCCTGTCAGCACTGAAGGGCTGAGCCCTGGCCCTCGTCCCCACAGCCTGAGAAAAACAGCCCGGGACAAGGGCCAGGAGAAATCCCAGCCCTTGGGATTTGCCTGGAGAAGCTGTGGCTGCTCCATCCCTGGAAGTGTCCCAGGCCGGGTTGGAGCAGCCTGGGATAGTGGGAGGTGTCCCTGCCCGTGGAACTGGATGATTTTAAGGTCCCTTCCAACCCAGAGGATCCCAGGATTCTGTGATCCCGTTTTCCCAGCCCTCTGTGGGGGCTGGAGGAACAGCCCTGGGCACTGGGAGTTTGCTGGGCAGGAGGACCAGGACACAGGGAATGGCTTCCCACTGCCAGAGGGCAGGGTTAGGTGGGATATTGGGAAGGAATTCCTGGCTCTGAGGGTGGGGAGGCCCTGGAATGGATTTCCCAGAGAAGCTGTGGCTGCCCCTGGATCCCTGGAAGTGTCCAAGGGCAGGTTGGAGCAACCTGGGCTAGTGGGAGGTGTCCCTACCTGTGCACCTGGATGATTTTAAGGTCTCTTCCCCCCCAGACCATTCTGGAATTCTGTGATTAGCACAAACACAGCTCTGTGCCCCCCCCAGCCCTCCCAAACCCCCACTCTGAGCTGCATTTTCGGAGGGGAGCTGAGCCTGGTCAGGGGCTCTGCGGGCGGTGGGTTGGGTCCTGACCTCCACCCCTGGAGACTCAGCGAGCATCTCCTGGCCAGGGAATGTTTTCCCACCAATCCTGTGCATGTTGGGGGTGAAAAACCACCGAACTCTCCCCGTTTTTCCCCCTCCCCTCCCCTGCCCTCCCAGCTGAACCACTCACTGCCCATGAAGATCGTGGTGTATCGGGACGGGGTGTCCGACCCCCAGCTCGACACGGTGCTCAAGTACGAGGTGCCCCAGATGCAGAAGAGCTTCAACACCTTCGAGAACTACCAGCCCAGCCTGGTGGTCGTGGTGGTGCAGAAGCAAATCAGCACCAACTTCTACGGCCTGACGGGACAGGAGTTCACGTCCCCCCCGCCCGGCACCGTCCTCGACCACACCATCACCACCTCGGGCTGGTGAGGGGCACCCCCGGGGCTGGGGGAGGTGAAAAGGGGGGAAAAACACCCCTGGGAGGGGAGGAAAAAAACCGCCCCGGGGTGTGAAAAAACTCCGGGGTGCGAAAAAATGGTGAAAATCGCCCCGGGGGTAAAAAAAAACGGTGGTAGAAAAACCCCAGGGTGCAAAAAAACCACCCCGGGGGGTGAAATAACCAACCCTGGGGTGCAAAAAAATCATTGTGGACACCCCAGGGTGCAAACAAATGGTTGTAAAATCACCCCAGGGTGCAAAAAAATCGTTGTTAAAACACCCCAGGGTGCAAACAAATGGTTGTAAAATCACCCCAGGGTGCAAAAAAACCACCCTGGGGTGCAAAAAATCATTGTTGAAACACCCCAGGGTGCAAAAAAGTGGTTGTAAGATCACCCCAGGGTGCAAAAAAAAAACCACCCTGAGGTGTGAAATAACCAGCCCTGGGGTGTGAAAATATCATTGTTAAAACACCCCAGGGTGCAAATAAATGGTTGTAAGATCACCCCGGGGTGCAAAAAAATCCCCGAGTGCAAAACATTAGTGCAAAAAACTCACACTGGGGTGTAAAAAAAAAAACCCTGGGGTGCAAAAAATCATTGTTAAAACACCCCAGGGTGCAAACAAATGGTTATAAAATCACCCTGGGGTGCAAAAAAATCCCTGAGTGCAAAAAATTAGTGCAAAAAACTCCACCCTGGGGTGTAAAAGAAGTGGTTGTAAAAACACCCCAGGGTGCAAAAAAAGCCAAAAAAAAAAAAAAAGTCTGTTTAATCACCCCGGGGTGCAAAAAAACCACCCCAGGGGTGTAAAAAATGGTGGTAAAACCACCCCAGAACGCAAAAAATGACGTGTAAAACCACCCTGGGGTGTGAAAAAAAGACACTGCGGGGGGGAAAAAGTAAAAAAAAAAAATGAAGTTGAGGTGTAAAAAGCCCTTTTTACACCCCCAGGAAGGATTTCTTCCTGCTGGCCCACAGCTCCCGGCAGGGCTGCAGCATTCCCACCCGCTACATCTGCATGTGGAACACGGCCAACCTGAGCCAGGAGCACCTCCAGAGGTGAGGGCAGGGGTCCAGAGACCCCCCAAAATCCCCCAGAGGGAAGGGCAGGGGTCCCAGAGCCCTCTGAGCACTTCCAGAGGTAAGGGAAGGGGCCCAGAGCTCCCCAAAATCCCCCAGAGGGCAGGGCAGGGGTCCCAGAGCCCTCTGAGCACTTCCAGAGGTAAGGGAAGGGGCCCAGAGCTCCCCAAAATCCCCCAGAGGGCAGGGCAGAGGTCCCAGAGCTGTCTGAGCACTTCCACAGGTAAGGGAAGGGTCCAGAGACCCCCAAAATCCCCCAGAGGGCAGGGCAGGGGTCCCAGAGCACTCTGAGCACTTCCAGAGGTAAGGGAAGGGTCCAGAGACCCCCAAAATCCTCCAGAGGGAAGGGCAGGGGCTCCTCAAAATCCTGCCCAGAGCCCTCCAAGCACCTCTGGAGGGAAGGGCAGGGGTCCCAGAGCCCCCCAAGACCCTACAGCCTCCCCCAAAAATCTGCAGAGGGAAGGGAGGGGGGTTGGAGTCCCCCCTTATCCTACAGACCCCCAAAATCCTGCAGAGGGAAGGGAGGGGGGTTGGAGTCCCCCCTTATCCTACAGACCCCCAAAATCCTGCAGAGGGAAGGGAGGGGGGTTGGAGTCCCCCCTTATCCTACAGACCCCCAAAATCCTGCAGAGGGAAGGGAGGGGGGTTGGAGTCCCCCCTTATCCTACAGACCCCCAAAATCCTGCAGAGGGAAGGGAGGGGGGTTGGAGTCCCCCCTTATCCTACAGACCCCCAAAATCCTGCAGAGGGAAGGGCAGCTTTCCTGGAAACCCCCCCAATATCCTGCAGCCCCCCAGAGTCCTGCAGAGGGAAGAGCAGTCTTGTTTCAGTGTGAGGACCCCCAAAATTCGGAGGGTTTTGGGTCAATCAGCCCCCCGGAGTTGGGGGGGTTGTGCAGGCACTGGGCTGAACCTGCAGGGTGAACTGGGTGAACTGGGAGGACGTGGATGAGGCAGAGGAGGCGGATCCCATCCCATCCCATCCCTCTGGTGGCAGAGGTGACAGAGGACACTGTGTCACCCCGGGGTGCCCCAACCTTTGCCTCCTCCTCCTCCAAGTGGGGGAGAAACACCCGGGTGGGAGCAGGTTTGGCCTCGGGGAGCGAATCCATCCCGCTGGGAATCACCAATCCCCCTTTTTTCTCCCCTGTCTGTCCCCAGGCTGACCTTCAAGCTGTGCCACCTGTACTGGAACTGGCCTGGCACCATCCGTGTCCCAGCCCCCTGTAAATATGCCCACAAGTTGGCATTCCTGGTGGGGCAGGTGCTGCACCACGAGCCCAGCACCCACCTGAGCGAGCAGCTCTTCTTCCTTTAGTGTTGCCGGGGCAGGAAAACCGGGATTGGGCCCGGAATTCCGCTCCCCAGCCGCCCGTGCAGGGGAATCTTCCTTAATTCCCCCTTTTGTTGTTAATTTATTCCCGTTATTTATTGGTTTTTTTAAGGGTTGCAGTGTCGGCTTGAGGGACGCTGGGGAGCGTCCCAGGGCTGGGTTTATCCCCCTGGGGGTGAATCCAAAGGAATATCCCCCTGTTTTCCAGTCCTCCCAGTAAAGGGGGTTGAGTTAACGAGCCCCAGAGGTGCTGCTGCTCCCACAGCTTGTCCCTGTGCAGGTGCTGGTGCAAACCCCAAAGATCTGGGGTTTTTTTTTTTTCTTGTGTTTCCAGGGAGGTTTCAAGTTTTTCCTGGGTTTTTTTTTTTTTTTTTGTCTTTTTTCCAAGGTGCTGTTGAACAAACCAGCCCCCAGGTTTGGCTGGTTCTCCCGTCCTTGAGGAGTCACTGGTTTCTCAAGGAGAATTCTCTGTGCATTCAGGTCGTTGTCCCAAGGGGAAAGTTTTTGAGTTCTCGCCTTTTTCAGGTGTGGGGGTTTTTTTTGCCTTAGTTCAGGAGATGTTTGAGACCTTCGAGCCTGGGGCTGTGAGACCACAAAAAACACCCTAAAACACCCCAAAAGATGCCTCAAACCCCTCCTTCTGCATCCCTAGCAGGGATGGGGGTCCAGCAGGACCCTCTCCCAGCCTCTCCCCTCCGTTTTAATGCCAAAAAAGTTGGAATTCCTCTATTTTTTTGCCTTTGCTGTGACCAGTTTTTGGTTCTTTTCAATAAAACTGTTGCTGGCAGCTGCTCCTTCTTGGAGTGGGGTGGGTGGGTGACAGGGGTGGGTCATTCCCCTCACTCCCAGGTATGGAGAAGGGGACACAGGTATGGAGAGGGGGGGGTCACAGCACTGCTGTCACCCTGTGCCCCTGGTTAATCATTGATCCCTTTATCCCTGTTTATTTGCCGGTCCAGGCGGACTTTGGCAGCCCTGGCCCAGCCTGGGTTGGGATTTGGGAGCAAAACTTGGCTCAGGAAGGGGGGCTGGGGGTGCTGGGACAAAGTGGGGGTGCAGGATGGGGGGTCCCTGCTCTTCCTGGCCCCTCACCAGCACTGCCCTGTCCCTGCTCCTTGGCACAGGGAGAGGAGGCAGGACCAGCCTGGTTGGATTTGTCCCTCCCCCAAATCCCCCCAGCCCTTCCAAGGGGGTCCCTGGGGCGCCCTGTCCCCTTGGGAAGGGGCTGAGGAGTGTCCTGTGCCCCCAAAGGGTGTTTGGGGGGGGTGGTCTGAGGGATGTTCCGTAACCCCAAGGGTTATAGAAACCCCCCCTGTGCCTCTGAGGGGTGTTTTGGGGGGGTCCTTGGGGTGCCCAGTGCCACTGAAGGGACATTTAGGGGGGTCCATGTGGTGCCTTGTGCCCCCGGGGTGGGTTTTTGGGTGGTCTTCAGGTGGTTTTGGGGGGTCCTGGCGTGGGTTTTAGGGGTTTTTTTAGGTAGTTCTTGCGTGGTTTTTGGGAGAGTGGGTGATTTTTAGGGATCCTGGTCCCCCCAGGTGTGTTTTTGGGAGGTCTTGGGATGTGGTTTTTGGGGGTCCAGTTCCCCCTAAGTGTTGTTTTGGGGGTCCCTGTCCCCGCAGATGTGTTTTTGGGTGTTTTATGGGTGTTTTTTTTTGGGGGGGCAGGTGTGG